GGAAGGAAGGAGAGGAGGAAGGAAGGAAGGAGAGGAGGAAGGAAGGAGAGGAGGAAGGAAGGAAGGGAGAAGGAAGGCGAGGAGGAAGGAGAAAGGTAATGGAAGGGGAAGGGAAGAAGGGCGGCTGCATGGTGTCCTGCTGAGGAAACACTTCTGGCCTTCACACGCACAGAAACGTGTTCTTGTGCACTCTCACACACATGAAGAGGTACACACACACTTACAACCATGAGCAACAAGGAACATCAAAAACAAGGTTAACGGAGGGCTTGCCACAGTACGAGCGTTAGGAGCTTTGTGGCCACGGCCTCTCTGTGTCCCTCCCAGCTGCCATGGACCCTGCCTGTCCACCATGCCACCGCCCAGGTGGTCTCGTTCCTGTCTTCTGTCTACCAAACTCCTATTCATCCCTCAGGACCCAAGTCAAAGGTTAAAGCATCTGGACTCCGCAAAGAACCCAGTCCCTCCGGGACGCATCATGGCAGCGCTCACCTCTTACCCATCTTGTCCGTTCACGACCATGCACCGTGCATAGTCTCCCCAGAACAGCAAGCTGAGTCTCGTGCAGAAGCGGGGGAGGGAGCTTAGCCAACTAGGACCTGTTTTTCGGTGCCACACCAGTCACATGACTACTGGAGGAGAACCCAGTTCCTGGCTCTTAGGGACTGTTAAACAGCAGCAAAAGACACCGTCCATTGCCGGGCTGCGATGAGCCTCAGGCGGCCTGAGTCACGTGTCTCTTCGTGTATACAGTAGTCCTTGGTAACCGAGGTGAATGGATGTGGGGACCCCCCCCCAAGTTCCTGCTGGAAGACCGTACGAGCCGGGGCAGGCACTTGCCGTCCCTGAGGCAGGAGCCTGGACGTGAAGCAGCCTGAACTACACAGCAAGACTGCCTCAGCTAAAACTACAATTAGATTCCGTTGTAGAGGCGCACGCCTGTGGCCCTAGCTCTTGGAAGGCAGAGCTATAAGGATCGTCCACAAGTCTGGGGTCTGCGCTTGGCCTGAGTGACAGTGAGTTCCAGGACACAGGACCTTAACTCACACAAGCAAACAGGCAGGTCACAGCGCGGTCCACAGGCCCCTGACTGTGTGAGCACAGAGACCGGAGTTCGGAGCCTTGGAACCCGCAGAAATGGGGGGGAGCTGCCCGCTTGCCATCCCAGCAGCCGGGAGGGCCTGGAGTAGGCTGGCTCCCTCACACCGACTTTGTGCCCGCATACATGCACATACAGACTGCGCACACGCCGAACCACCACAAACCCGCATGGACACAAGCGAGCGAGCCCGCACAGACGTCTCCGGGACCTGCGGCCACCGTCGTCGCCAGATCACTCAAAACTGTGTACAGACGCCAAGAAAGCAACACCTGGACCTGTTTGCTTAAACAGGGTCTTGCTGTGTGGTCAGGGCTAGCCTGGAACACTCTTGGTAGACCAGGCTGGCCTCTGACTCACAGAGCTTCTGCCGCCTGAGGGCTGGATTAAGAGTCCATCACCACAGCTGGAAGATTTGTTTGCTTTTGGAGATTCGTTTTATCTTTAATCACGTGTGTGTGTGTGTGTGTGTGTGTGTGTGTGTGTGTGTGTGTGTGTGCCGGCAGGTTTCTGTGGAGGGCTGAAAACAGCAGATCCCTGGAGCCGGAGTCTGGCAGCCGCAGCCTGGCCCCGGGTTCTGGGAACCTTGCGGGAGCCGCCTGCGGCTCACTGTCAGCCACTGTCCCCCAGCCTCTCCCCCGTGTGCCGAGCCAGGAACCGGCAGGAGGCAGGCGTGAGCTCCACGCCCGGCCCACTTCTTCCTAACACTTTTTGGTTGGCATACAAAGAACTGGGCTTCACGGCGACGTTTTCTTTAATCAATGTCTTGAGACAGGGTCTCAGCGATCCCAGCCTGGCCTTAACCTCAACCATGAAACCCAGGGCGATCTTTTCCTCCTCATCTCCTTCTTCCACATCCAAGTGCTGCGCCTGCAGGCTTCGTGATAGCAGGCTTGATCTGCGAGATGCTGGGGACGGAACCCAGGCCTCTGTGAGCTCTGTGAGCGGAGACCAGAACTCACGCGCCACGCTTCCTGTCGGCCCTCCCGCGTCGTCCTCCTGGGGCTCCCTTTTTCCTGGCTGGCTCCTTCCCCCTCACCAAATTGTGTGTGTGTGTTTCTCCCTTTTCACTCCCCGCTGACCCCCTTGGCACCCGTGTGAAAGGCTGCATGTGGCAGCCCACCATCCATGAAGGGGTGAGCGAGCAGATTCAGGGGGCTCAGCCTGTAAGAGCCGGTCCTGTCCCTCTACCGTGTGGGTGATGAGGGCGCCAAGCTTGGCAGCAAGAACCTGGGCCACCTCAGCTGCTCTGAGCCACGCTCTCTTTACCTGTTCATTTGTGCCAAGACATGTAGGCCGGGGTTGTGTGTCACTGTTGTGCACAGCGCAGCAACACGCACGGGTAGGAACCTTGGCTGCCTGCTGACTTGGAGCCCTTTGGGTACATGCCACAGAGCGGCAGAGCTGGGTCTCGTGGTAGTCGCAGTAGGAGAAAGCTCCATCCCGATACCCACGGTGGCTGCACCCGCTTACCCTCTGCCAGCCGAGCAGGGGACCCCCCTCCCCACATCCTTGCCAGCATTTAGCTTTGTTTTCTCGACAGCCTTCCTGTCTAGGATGCATTTCTAATTACCATCTCCTGATAGCTAAGGGTATTGATTTGAGTGTTGATTTTTTTTTTTTCAAATATTTATTGGCCAAACTATTTATTCCTTTGAGTGTTTTCTTTCCCTTTTTAAGATTATTTTATAGGTCGGGTGGTGGTGGTTTACATCTTCAACCTCTCCAGGCAGGCGGACTTCTATGAGTTCGAGGCCAGCCTGGTCTATAGTGCGAGTTCCAAGACAGCCAGGGTTACACAGAGACCCCTGTCTCAAAAAAGCTTATTTATATTTTTAAGTGGTTTGCCTGCAAGCCTCTGTGCCTGATGGCCAGGCAGGCCAGAAGAGGGCATTGAACCCCCTGACATTAGAGGAACTGCGTGGGTCCTGGGGATTGAAAAGGGGTCAGTGTATTAGCCCATTTATTAATATGTCTTCTGGTGGCTTGAGGAGATCTTTGTAATTTCGGGCGTTAATCTCCTGTCAGAGGTATGGTTGGCAAAGATTTTCTCCAATTCCATAAGCTGTCTCTTCACTCTGCTGGTTCGCTCTTGAGACAGTGTCTTGCTCTATAGCTTAGGCTGACCTTAAAATGGGTACAGAGCTGAGGCTAGTCTCAAACTCATGACCCTCCTGCCTCAGCCTCCTAAGTGTTGAGATTCTGTGTGAGTGATCCCACCCAGGCTAGTTGTCTTTTCAGACAAAGCCAGCCAACATCTCAGGAGAAAGCTTTCAGGAGTTGGTTCTCAGCCATCCCCTGGACCTGGGGGTCGGGTCAGGTTGTCGGCTTGCCTTTACCACCTGAGTCGTCTTCTTAGAGCCTCCGGTTCCCTTTGAACTTAGTTTGGAGCCCCAGCCCACAGAAGGGGAATTCTCCACATAAAAACAGATCTTCCCATCTCCGCTAACCCTCTCTGGGGAGAAAAGGTCCTCAGGGACACAGCAGGAGGTCTGTCTTCCCGGTGATTCTACATCTCAGCAAGCAGGCAAAGACTTAGAGGTGTCCCTTTCCCATGAGTCAGCGGGACCAGATTAACCTCAGATTTCAAATGGGCTCTTCGGGAACAGGAATTAGGTGTAACAGCCCAAATTGTCAGTTCGGGGGCTGGGGTTAGCTGAGCAGTAGAGGGTTTCGCAGAATGCACCACTGACGAGCTGGGAGTAGAGCTCAGCAGCAGTCCACCTAGTCAGCATGCACAGGCCTAGCTTCGACTCCGGGCAAACTTCCCTGAACCGACAGGAAGCTTAATATTTAGGCGGCTTAAAAACTTTTGTGTATGTGTTTGTGTGGGTACGTGTGCGACAGTTAACACACCTGTAAGCCAGTACTTTAGGCCGCAGCCCTCACCTTCCACTTTGAGACAGGGTTTCTTGGTCGTTGACGTTTACGCCAGAGCTAGCCCACAAGCTGCAGAGTCCTCCTGACTCCCATCTCACTACGGAAGCTCGGCAGGCAGGGCGTGCCGAGCATTAAACGGGCCCCGACTCTCCAAACTCAAGCGATCACAATTGTTTGGCAGGCGTTTTTCCTACCGAGCCATCTCTCCAGGCCTCTCACCTAACCCTCATGCTTACTAGGGATCCAGCCTAGGGCCTCATCCTGTAACACTACTCAAATTTCCCGAGCTGCCACCACAGCCCCTTCCTTCAGCTTTAAACCTTCTCCTTTCCCAAGCCTGGAAGCCTTCAGAAAGGAGCCTGATCCATCGGAGCGGCAACCGCTCCTGCGCTTTCTCTAAGCTTCTGGGGAACACTCAGCGACTCTGAGCCCTCGCACCTCGGCCTAACGCGGGCTCCTTAACGCCTCAACACCACTCAAGAGCACACAGAATTACACCAGGAAGCAGAGGCCACCGGAAGCCTGGCACCGACACAACTCGGTACTTTTATTATACAGGACAAGGAAGACTCTCTCCTCAGACCTCCGTTCGCAGTCCTCGAGGCTGAGGGAACATGTCTTTTCTCACGCGGCTCTGAGAAGAGGTCCGTGACAGAACTCGGAACAAGAGCCATAGGAACCACACGGAGCCCGGACGTGTGTGCACCACGAGCTGGTGGGCGGGAATCGGCTTCAGTTACTTGGGCGTGACCCTGAAGACGCGGATGTGGATGGCCGAGTTGTTCCGGATCCTGGTGAGCGGCTCTCGGTTGTCGGCCTCCGGCTCCAGCTCGTCCACCAGCTCCACGGTGGAGGTGTTGGCGGCCACCTGGAGGGAGCCGAAGCTGGCGGCCTGCAGCTGCAGCGCGATGTTGATGGCGCGGTTGATGGCCAGGCCCAGGCCGTGGATGTAGATCTCGGCGCACGCGTGCTGCCCCCGGCCGCCCCCGTCCAGCAGCTTCTGGCAGCGGGCCAGCTGGGCCTTGAAGTCGGTCTTCATGTTGACGTAGATGTCATTGGGCCTCCGGGGCAGGCGGTGGGGGAGCCGCTTCCGCAGGGTGTACTCCACCGGGTCCAGGCCGGCCTCGACGGCGCCGCGGGGCTCTCTGTGCTCGGCCATGCCTGAGGGTGACGGGTCGGCGCAAGGACGGGCGGCCTGCCGCGCCCGGGCGCGCCGGGAGGGGGCGCCCTCGCCGCCCGCCCCGCGCCGCGGCCCTCCGCCTCGCTCGTCACGTGGCTCCCGCTCCCGGGCCGCCACGCCTACCTCCTCCGGTCCTCGCTCGCGAGAGCCTCGCCGCCCACGGCGCCCCGGGAAAACGGCGGAGAAGGGGCCGGAGCACGAGCGCCGCAGGACCGCGCCCGGCAGGGGCCACGGATCGCGCACGCGCGCCTCCCCCACCCCGCCCCGCTCTCAGGCCGGAACCGAGCGGCTCCGGGCCTGCCCCGCCTCCGTGCGCATGCGCAAGGGAGCCGAAG